GGATCACCGGAAACCGTCGGTTTAGCTCCAATAAGAGGTTTCTTTTTGCCATTTTTCTCCCACTTTTCATCATCATAGTTTACTTCTCCACTGACATTAAAAATCTATCCAAACCAGAGTTTCCGACCTCAAATTCGATGCTTCCATAAATCGCATGCGCGAGTCCGAATTACGCGCTTTGTATTTGCTGAGAGAACAGCAATTAGGGCTTTTCAATTTATGGAATCATACATTTGCTACCCAATCAAATTTTACCGCACCAAATTCTATGAACTCTAGTGCCAATAGTACTGACTCGAGTCCGGCATTACATGATCTTTTTTCGCCTTTATCATCTCCTGCATTGCTAGAGGATCTCAAATCTGTGGTGCTTAATCAGATCAATTTGAATAAACAAATTCAGCAAGTTTTGTTGTCATCGCATCAATCCGGAAATTTCTTGGATGTAGCTGACAATGTTACGGATCCGAGACTTTATGTTGGCGTGAATAGGTGCCAAAAAGTCGATCAGAACCCTTCCCAAAGGAGAACAATTGAGTGGAAGCCGAGATCGAATAAGTNAATTTCTCACAATTTCTGTCAATATATGCACTGTAAAGTCTGTGACAAAATCATATTTCATTTAATTGACTATTTGAAAAAGCAAAAAATACTTTTGGGTTGAAGTATTTTAAGTTTTGCATCTAACCATATTTTATTGAGTTATAGATTCTTAGAAGAGATTTAATTTTTTGATCAATATATACAGTTTATAATATATTATACTGGGTTTACTTAATCGAAAAATAAAATATTTATTTTAGGGACTACTATTGAAAAAAAGAAGAGATTAGGATTGCTATAAAAACTTTAAAAAAATTAGAGGGGAGGGGAACAAATGTTATAAGTTGAACAAAATTATAGTTCCTAAACAAGACATATATAAAGATGATCCAAAAGTCAGGGGGGCAAGTGGCCCCCTAAGTCTGAGGTGGTTACGTCAATGTTCTCAACTATTTTATTTGTTACTTGCTAAAAAAAAAAACTATGTTTATTAGTTTCTTTTGCCCTGCTTGGTAGGAGGGAAAAATATGTGGATGAAAAAGTGAGGATGAAAAAAGGGAGGAAAAGAAGCATTTTTCATAGTCTGGTTAGAAAGGAAAAAGTTTCCTTTGGGCCCACAATTTTTTATCCGCCCAAATACGAGCGAAAAATATGAGAGAATTGTTGGCTACCAAAAGGTAATTGGGTTAATTTATATTTTTACCCTTATTAATTGCATATTCTTCGTAACTACTATGTTAANGAAAAATATGAGAGAATTGTTGGCTACCAAAAGGTAATTGGGTTAATTTATATTTTTACCCTTATTAATTGCATATTCTTCGTAACTACTATGTTAATTACCATTTGTATGAGGGATACAAGTTTAAAATACGATTATATATACATGGTAAGACCCTTTTTTTTTTTTTTTACATGGTAAGACACTTGATCACATTATTTAAATTTTTTTTATAATAAAATTCTAAATCACATATGTAATTTTTTTTTCTTTTTCTCCATACCAAACAATAAAGAAAAATCTTATTTTAAGAAATAAAGGCCAATACATTTCTTTCCATTTCTCTTCTAACTGGAACATGTACTATAATTTTTTTAACATATAAATTCAAGTGGGGTCTATTGTATATAAGTGACTCAAACACTGATTAACAATAAATGATTTATCAATAAGAAATATATAAGGAAAAAAATATTGGAAGAGATCTAGATAATTGGATCCATATTATAAGGGAGGGGAAATTCCTACCCCGCAAAAATCCATTTCCACTCCATTTAATCTCTTATCATCAAACTATTGTGGTGGTTTTTGATAAAAATGAAAGATGAACACTGAAAAATAAATGTTGAATTTTTAGTACTGAATGTTGAATTTTTTAATTCGCAAATTGGTTGGTATCAACTAAAATTTAAGTATTAAATTTAATCAAACTGTTTGACAAATATAAGGA